TTTGTTATAACTTATACATATTTTTGTCTGCCACAATATTGGTCATGCCTCCCTGCTGGCCTTGCTGGAAACAGCAGTATCTATTGCTGCTGGCTCACCAAACAACCTTAAGAAAAAACATGAGACAGCCGTTGATCTGTGTAGATCAAGATAACTTGCAGTGCTGGATGTCTCCCCAGACAGAGCTGTGAATAGACAATAGAATAACACACTTCAGTCCAGATGGGGCATGTCCTGGAGGCAATCCCTACTTGCAGGTATATACAGGGGATAGTGATGTGTGAAAAGTGCTGATGCCACAGTGGATCCAACAGATCCAGAGTGGCTCAGTGGTTAGCACCACTACTTCATGGCACCAAGAACCTGGGTTTGATTCCAGCCTCAGGTGACTGTCTGTGTGGGTTTCCTCTGGATGCTTTGGTTTCCTTCCCACAGTCCAAAGATGTGCAGATTTGGTGGATGGGCCATGCTTAATTGTTCAGGGATATGCAGGTTAGCCGTGGGTCTGGGTGGAATGCTCCTCAGAGGGTCAGTGTGAACTTGATGGCCTTCTTTCACATTGTAGGGATTCTATGATTTGGAGATCATCAAGGTTGGTGAGGAAATCTGCCTCTGCACTGATGGGAGAAACAGAAGGGAGACCTTGTTTTGTACAAGGACATGGATCTGGGAGTCAGGCCCAGAGGACCAAGTGCCAGGGTAGATGTTGAACATAGGGGTGGCCTATACATCCAGTGGAATGTATTACCAATGCAGAGGTGCTAACCTTCTTTAATAGTCATGATAAAGGTTCCAGCAGAACAAACTTGACTGAAGCAGATAACATCAATGTCAGTGCTGAAACACCTGATACGATGGCATAGGTCATAGTTGAGCTGACTTCTGACCACCCGACTATAAGTGAGGTTGTGGATATAACACAGTGTGGAGCTGGAGGAACACAGTAGGCTAGGCAGCATCAGAGGAGCAGGAAAGCTGACGTTTCAGGTCGGGACCCCTCTTCAGAAAAAAATGTAAGTTAGGTCATGATACATTACCTGTCGACGGGTTATTTTGCACACTGAGATTCACTCCTTCAAACAATAGGCACCTTTCAGGTCCACATGATTGAGAATCATCAAATTAAGAACATTAGAACTAGATGTTCCGAATGCGATAAGAGCGGCGAATGTCACACAATAATGTGTCATTATGTAGAATTTAGTGGCAGAGAACCAGCTAACCAACTAGGGTCCTTCGCTTGTTCTACGTGCAACAAAACTTGGTCTCGGCCAACACAAATACCGTAGACAGGATGCGCTGCACAACCTGAAGCATTTGGAAATCCTGAAGACAGAGGCAAGACCAGGAGGCAGAGTTGCAGTACAATGGCTCAGTGGTTAGTACTGCTACCTCACAGTACCAGGGACCTGGGTTCCATTCCAGCCTTAGGCAAATGTCTGTATGGAGATTGCACACTGTCCCCGTGTCTGCAAGGGTTTCCTCTCGGTGCTCTGTTTTCCTCCCACAGTTCAAAGATATAAAAGTTACCATTGACCATCTATATTGCCCTGTAGTGTCCATTGACATGCAGGCTAGGGGAGGTGATGGCCTAGCGGTATTATCACTGAACTGTTAACCTGGAGACTCAGATAATGTTCTGGGGACCTGGGTTCAAATCCCACCACGGCAAAGGCTGGAATTTGAATTCAATAAACATCTGGAATTAAGAGCCTAATGACAGCCATGAATCCATTGCTGATTGTCAGGAAAAACCCACCTGAATCACTAATGTCCTTTAGGAAAGGAAACTGCCATCCTTACCTGGTCTGGCCCACATGTGACTCCAGATACACAGCAATGTGGTTGACTCTTAACTACTTTCTTGGCATTTAGGGATGGGCAATTAATGCTGCCTATCCAGCGATCCCCTCATCCCGTGAATGATTAAAAAAAAAGTCATGGGAAATGTGGGGTTAAAGGGATGGGGTCGGTCTGGGTAAGATGCTCTTTGGAAGGCCAATGTGGACTCAGTAGGTTAAATGCCCTGCTTCCACATTGTAGGGATTCTATTATTCTATTAAAAATCTCAGAAAATGTAGGGCATTGGAGAATACCCGCGTTGTTTCTCATCTGACAAGACTGGAGAAGATACCTGGGAGGCTGTTCCCCAGGACAAAGTTGATACCCAGGAGGTGGTCACGCAAAACTGAAAAGGACTATTTATCCTTAAGCTAATATCCATGAATACAAGGACATTGACAACCAGTTATCTCAGGCTGAGGAGCTTTTAAGCAAGAGTGGTGATCCCTAGGCTGGGGTTAGGTCTGGAATTATTAATAACCAGAGGCAAATCAAGTGAAATTGATTTTAGGCCAATAGACCAGAATTCAAAGGTTTGGTGGGGTATGGATCAAGAGCAGGCAGGTGGGACTAGTTGGTTTGGGATTATGGTCAGCATGGACTGGTTGCTCCAAACGGTCTGTTTCCATGCTGTATGACTCTATGACTCTAAGAGCCGAACTATCTTAATTCCTAAAACTGAAGACCAGGAACACCTAAGAAATAACGAAATAATCACAACTGGGTCTATTTTACTTCGCTTATTTACAAAAATGATGGTGAAGGGACTCAGTTCCCCAGTCAGTCTAAATCCCAGGCAGAAAGGGCTCTCCAATCCTGCAACCCCAGTTTGGAATGAAAACAGTACAATTCTGGATAACATCATTCAAGACACCAAAAGGAATTGGCAGGACCTCACGGTTATCTCTGTAGATCTGGAGAAGACTTTGGACTTTATAAGGCGTAAATTATTAATCAGGCTATCTCACAAGCCTATTTACCCAAAACTAATTAGTGATTTTTTTTTTGCACATAGCATGGAAACAGACCCTTTGGTCCAACCAGTCCATGCCAACCATAATCCTAGACTAAGCTAGTCCCACCTGCCTGAACTTGTGTCATATCCCTCCAAACATTTTGTATTCATTTTCATTTCTAAATGTCTTTTAAGCATTGTAATTGTACATGCATCCGCCACTTCCCCTGGACGTTCATTTCACACATGAACCACTCTCTATTTTAAAAAAGAATTGCCCATCATGCCTTTTTTCAAAATCTTTCTCCTCTCACCTTAAAAATATGCCCCTTAGTCTTGAGATCCCAACCCTATGGAAAAGACACCTGCCATTCACATTAGCTATATCCCTCATGATTTTATAAACCTCTGACAGGTCACCCCCCTCAGCCTCCTACACTCCAGGCAAAGAAGTCCCAGCCTTTCCCTATAACTCAAACACTCAATTTTAGAAAGATTCTGGTAAAACTACACAAAGTACTGATCTGGTTGCACCTAATATATTGTGAATGGTTTGAGTCTGCTTATCAAACGAAGGATATACTGGCATTGGGCAGTCCAGAGAATGTTTACTACCCAGTTGGAAAGACTGTCTTTCAAGAAAAGGCTGAGCAGGTCAGGACTGTACTCATTGGTGTTTAGAAGAATGGGTACAGTCCTAACCTACTCAACCTTTTCTTTAAAACAGTCCGTCCATACCAGTATAGAATAATGAGAGGTGACCTTATTGGAATGGATAAGATTCTTCAGGGGTTTGACAGGGCAGATGGTGAGCGGATGTTTCCTCTTGTGAAAAAGATTAGGACCAGAGGGCATAGACTCAGAATA